CAGAATCTCCGACCGGCCCTGCCTACATCCTCCACCACTTCCTCCCCCATCCCATCCCTCTTCACCAAACACGCAGTCAATGCCTCCCAAACTCCGCGGCACGCTCTCCAAGAGCTTGTCGCAGATCCAAGACTCCTCCTCTTCATCCTCCTCATCAGTCTTCTACTGTCCGTCCTGTTCCACCTGGCGCCGCTCCCTCTCCTCGCGTCGAACCCGACTACAATTACCACAGCAACAACATCAACAACAATCATGGGCATCCTTGCAGCGTAGCGGCATTGCGACCACATCCGTCGTCCACACAAGACATATCCCTCCCCGACTGAAGGATCTACATGAAGCTCTGAACCGAGTCAAGGATGTTGCGCCGGAACAGGTGAATTTGAGTCGGTTGCAGCTTGCGTTGAGGGGATTGGAGAGTGAGAAGCCGGTTGTTCGAGTTGCTGGTATGTCTTTGCCTTCTCTCCCAGCCAGTGATAGATGTTTTGGTCGTTTGGGGTAATGCTAATCATTGGGGCAGTTCTGGGTTTGAATGATGCGACTGCGGCGCGCAGACTCGTTCGGTTGCTGTTGGCGGACCCGTTGAACTCGAGGGAGAGCTGGGAGGATGCGTTGGATGCGTATGGTGAAGATACGGAGAGGGGTTTGTTGATTCGGTAGGTCTACATTCACAAACACGCATGGCATTATGGGGAGCAGGCACTAAGTTATATGCAGGTACGGTGAAGTCTCCGAAACAATCCCCAACGATCTCCTCCCTACGATCTCGGTCCCCTCGCCCATTTTGAAGAAGGGCAATTTGGAAATTCTCGTTACGACGCTTGGTGCTGAGTCGGCTGGCGTCGCGGACGCTACTCATTCTCACCCATTTACGGCTGACACCTTCCTCGTGCCTACGGTTACGATCCGCACGTCGCATTCCGGCCGGCATAATATGGTGCGGTATCCCGTGCATCGCAGTATCGTGTGCGGTAGCGGTGTCGATGGATTTTCGGCGTATAGCGGGTTGATGGCGCGGTCGGACTTGAGGAAGGAAGCTGTGTCGGTCTTTGGGGCTATTGAGCTGGCGGTCACGGAGCCACAGAAGTACGATGGCCGGGTTGCGTTTGTGGATATTGACAAGGCGGATGAGGCATTGGCGAAGTTCCGTGAGTCGGTGCAGAATGCTTCTCTCTACGAACGTGGCTGGAACAGCAGTGGTGTGCAGCCGGTGGTGGACTGGTTGTCTTCGCTTCGAGCTGAGGAAGGGACGCTGGATCCGTCCTTGCGGACGTTGATCACATCTCTTCTGGATGCCGCGGAAGCGGGTGCCGCCGCTGCCGAGAAGAGGAAGCTGCTGGAGCAAGAAAGCGGCGCTGTGTCGTGGGAGACTCGCGATGTGCTTGAGCGATCCGTGTCTGAGTGGGCGGAGCGCGGGCACACGGAGCTCCGCAGCTCGCTCGAGGAAGGGTTCGCCAGCAAGCCGTGGCGCGGACTGGCGTGGTGGAAGCTGTTCTGGCATGTGGACGACGTCGGAATGATCACCTCGGAGATCCTGGACCGGAAGTACCTGCGCCAGGCCGAAAAGGAGGTCATCTGGACTGCCGGCCGGTTCCAGCAGGCCGGATTGACCGATGCGACTCCCATGCAAGAGGAGCAGACGTCCTGGCCAGCGCAGATCGCGACTAGTCGTCGCCGGCTCCTGGAGACGACAGTGCCGTCGCTACAGGCATTGGCGCAGCGTCTGGTCTTCTTCAGCATGTCCACAACCACCCTGACCTCGGCATTGTCGGCGCTAACCTACGTTTCGCTGCCGACTGCCACCATCTACGAGACCTGCACGATGGCCGCTATCGGACTGATCTACTCGCTGCGCAACCAGCAGCGCAAATGGGAGTCCGCGCGACACTGGTTTGAGAACGAGGTACGCGAAGACGGCCGCACCGCGCTGCTGGAGACAGAGACGCAGCTGCGCGAGACCGCCCGCGAGGGTGGCCGACAGGTCGAAGAGGTGACGGCGGAGAAGGACGCCAGAGAGACAATCGAGCGCGCACGCACAGCTCTGGAGGAGGTCAACTAGCCAGCAGATAGGTATCTAGTTTAAGCATGTCATGTACAATAGACTCATCATCCACCTTCCACATCTATACAACCCTTCTTCCACCCCATATTCACCTAACTATTCAACTAAGTTCAACACTCCCCTCCGGTACCCCCTTATAACTCCTCAACCTCCTAGCCAAAAACTCCATCACAGGCCTCATCTCCTCCGCATTCCTCGGCATCCCATCCCCACGCCTCTTATACCTGCTCACCTCCACAAACTCAAACCACTCCTTCGTCCTCCTCACCCCAGCCGCAGTAACCGCCGTACTCCTCTCCCCTCCATCTTCCTTGCCCGCAACTATCAACAACGGCGTCCTACTCTTCCCACTTCCAGTCGCAGGCGCCTTTCCAGATAACCCCACCGGCGCCCCAATCGACACCACACCTCCCAGCTCCTTATCCCCATCCTCACCCCCCAAAGAAGTCCTGAAATGCCTAGCAACCTCCAACCCCACCATCCCGCCCTGCCCGATCCCAAACACCACAATATCCCGACCCCTGTACCCGCACTTTTTTAACAGTGTGTCGACAATCACCTCCTTAATTATGGTACTCGTGGAGCGCGTGAATCCTGCGTCCATGTCTAGGTCCCCTGCTGGGCTGAATGTGATGTCGTCGCCCCAGTGGAAGCCGCCCAGGTCGAAGGGGAGCGGGGTGGGGGCTTGGAGTGTTAAGACGGTGGTTTCGGGGAGGTTGAGGGCGCGGGCTAATGTTGTGAGGTTTTGGCTTGTGTCGCCGAGGCCGTGGAGGAGGAGGAGGATGTTGGGGGAGGGGTTTGGGGAGGAGGAGCTGGTGGTGGAGGGGGGCGTGATGGTTAGGGTTAGGTGCGGGGGGAAGTGGGAGGGGGTAGGGGGGTTGGGTGGCATTTTGGGGTTTGAGTTGGGTGGTTTTGAGGGTGGTTTTGTTGTTGGAGATGGGTAGGTAGTGTGGATGTTGTGATGTTGTGGTTGTGGTGGTAGAATGTAGTGAGGTTGGCGGGGTTGGTTGGGTGTTGTTGTATTTGTGGTTGTGGTAGTGGTTGTTGTGGATAGTTCGTGGAGGATATAATGAGATATGTGTAGGGTATTCAGTGTATAGTATGTGGTTTGCGTGTACAGTTCAGAGTGGTTCAAAGAAAAGTAGTATTGTTGTAGTGTGATAGAAGGTTGTTGGTTGAAGTTTTGAAGCTCAAGCAGTTAGTTGCCTGTTTGGGACTAGTGCGTCAGGGACAGTCTGTTGGTTCAGTTGGTTGTATTGACTGCATGTGTGCAGGTTAAATTATGCATCTATGCACATTTAATTTACTCGATATAAGTGTTTATTTTGTCATCTTAAATAAGATTCTTGGCTTGTTTATATCTATTGCATACTTTCTTGTGTGTACAACTAAAAAACTTGATCACTGGTCTAAAACACAGCCATGAGATGTACCTAGGCCCATCACCTTAATGATATCTCTCGGGAGAACAGGGCTGCTGTGCTTAGATCAGTGTCCAGACTTAACTACTTGACATGGTCACTGCCTACACATCTAGGTGGCATCCTTCAGGCATCCAGATGTTGATCTTCTTTATGTCTTGTCCCTTTCAATCTGCGTCCCTAGCTCTTTAACTTCCTCCTCACGCTATGTTCTCCTTTAATTTGCCAATTCTCTGGCTGCTGTCAAGAAAGGCTCATTAGGAGCCAAAGCGAAAGTACTGGAGGAATACTGCCAGGATCTGTCATTATAAGCAACGACCAGGTTTGAACTTCACGATAGCATGTTGCCATAATAGAAATTGACCTGAGTGCTCTTTAGTATGAGCAGTATAGCACTTTCTCTACTACAGTCACGTATAGTAGTGCCATATACCCTACTTCAGTCTATTTTGTACTGATACAGATTGAAGTGTTGATATTGCTAGTATCGATGGAACACTGAGAAAGCAAATCAAAACCTACCATGATCGCGATGACTTGGCAATACTCCATGATGTCCATTCTAATACTCTCATGCATGTTTCTGAGCATATTACAGGCTATCAATTCATCATTCAATTCCAGTATACGGAAGAGACAAACTGAGTATAGCCAAACAAGCCTTGTAAGGCAGCAGGTTGAAATGACACACTTTTATGAGCAACTTTCATCATCACTGACAATTATTCCAGACCATGTCTATAGTATTGAATGCATGCACAGGATTATTGCATATGCCAGATTCATGTGTGTCTTGTCATACAACAAATGCACATCATTGGAGGACATTAAATTCACATGTTGAAAGTATATTTATTGCCGGATGACCACTTTCCCGGAGCCGAAGATATCACGCAAATGAGGCAATGAATAGCATACATTTCTAGTTGACTACGGAGTACACTCACCGAACTCCTCAAGCGCTAAGTGAAACAACACATCACTGACTATGACGACATAATATTCTCGGCAGGCGGGTGCCATTAAGTGAGGGATATTATTAGTACAGAGTAAATTTTTTGGTGAAAGAACAGATGGTATCCAGCCAAGCCACACACCGCCACCACGCGGTGGGATGAAGCTGCGCCACAGTGAGGGGCATTACTTTTCGCACTATTGAGGAAATGACCAGATCGGGCAATGGCAGTGGGGAGATTCCACCGATTCCACCACTTTTTGCCCACTCGCCCGATTGTCCGAGACCCAAAATAGAATCCCAGTTTGAGGTGTGAAGATTGGAGGCTCTCTAGCCGGCTGAAAGTGTTTGAGACTAAGTCCCTGACACTTGTCTGTGACAGCTTTACCCCGATACTCCGTCGATAGACTTATAGATATCACCCAAAAGGCGGGGGAATCACTTACCCTCCACCTGATATTCAGACAAGCCTCACCAAGACGCGAAGCTGACCGGGTCGACCGGCTCATCTTGCGCCCGCCAAGCCTGGGCAAACTGTGGCTGCGGCGCTAAATGGGCCAAAATGGATTCGCCCAGACTTAAGGCTGAGGAGATCCCCATCTCGACCCAGTCGCCCAGCAATAACATCGTGGTTCCGACCCTGGACGCGTACGTACGCACTCTTGCTCAGGCGATGATCCGGATGGTCGTTGCTCCAGGCCGTGAGGACTCCAACTGGCCTGCAGGAGACCACGCAAGGGCATCTGCATGGCCCCCAAAACGACAGCAGGAACATTTCACTAGATAGATGGTGGTAGCCTATCGCCATTGTAGCCTGTACGCGGTGCAGACATTCGCTGCCTCGGCCGTAAGAATTGACAAAGAGGGGCACAGGATCGATGCTCACCCAAACGTGACCACGGATCCCCAACCGGAGATACACGATTCCTCTTACATGATTGGAACCTGATGTTTCAACTTATTGAGGCTAGTAACTTACCCCTCGACTGCCCCTCCTGGGCAATTCCGTGCCCATCACATCGCTCCACGAGGCTGTGGCTGGGTGCTTCTCGCCCTCACTACCGCTCAATTATTCGGTCTCGTAGCGTCTAAGCGATGATCTGTTCCAATCAAATCCCGATCCATCTATCCCCTCCAAGCGCTGCCTCCTTTGCGCAGTTTCAGCTGGCCTGTGTCCACTCCCTTCACTGGATGTGATCTTCCCCTCGATCCACCCTTTCACAGTCGGGAGCGAACCATATTGTTCTTTATCCGACGCCCCTCAAGACTTTCGATGCATTTCCGTGAGGTTAGACGGTGGGGCACTCTGAGGATGGTCGATGGAGGGGCGCCCCAAGGGAGCTGAAGATGCTGAGTAGGGTTGTCTAGGCAGCACATATATAAGATGCTCTGTCCCCTCCCATCCAGACCTTCTCTTCTCTTCCTCATCAAACACTCAACTTTTTACTCTACCTAAAACCCTTTACTACTTCATACATCAATCATCATGGCCTGGGGCTGGGGTAAGTTACATACTTTCTTACACTTTCACCTTTCCATCTGGCCTGACAGGGTTCCCCTGTCTGGTCTTTGGCCTCGTGCCTTCACCAACACGACGTTTATCAGGGCCTTTAGTAATTAACATGGGTCTCTAGATCAATCCGACGACGCTCACCGTCAGGTGTACGAGAACAAGCACGAGGGCCACCTGTCCCACGAGCTCCTTGCCGGTGCCGCTTCCTTCGCTGGCATGAAGGCCTGGGAGGACCACCAGCGCAAGCAGGGTATGCATGCCCCATTCAGAACCATTTCAGCCACGTGAAGTTTGCCATGCTAACCACATCTGACCTACAGGCAAGCCCGTCAGCCACGCTTTCGCCAAGGAGGCCCTTGCCGCCGTTGTTGGCGCTGAGGTCGACAAGCTCGCCGAGACCAAGGGCATGGACGAAGTCGACAAGATCAAGGCCCGCGAGCACGCCAAGAAGAACGCTCACCACATGTACGAGGAGCACTACGAGCGCGGACACGGTGCCCCCGAGTTCGACCCCGGCCGCTTCCCTCCCCCTGACCGCTTCGAGGGCCGCCGTGGTGGCTGGTAAGAAGCCTCTTTGTGTGTGATGGGAAACCAACTGGATTTGGACCCTATCATCAGGGGTTGATACGAAGATGGATGGTGGAAATGAAACGAATATGATCATGGATTGAGAGCGCTGGTAACACGGCCTCTCCTGCATGTATTCTTATCTAATAAACCAAGATATCCAAATGAATTATTTATTATCTCAATGTGAAACAAACGCTTATCATGCGCTTCGTAATCCATACCAAACAAACAGTAGAATCATGGAGATCTTGCCCCGGAGACGAATATGCAGGATTCCACCCGTTCAGGAAAGCTCGCGGATTATCCATGCGTTGACGGTGAGCGCAAGGGTCTGTTTTGGACGCATAGATGCAAGGTGTGCGGGAAGGCGACGGGCGCATCACCCACATGGGCTTCAAAAGTTGTAAGACAATGTTTAATGACAGCTTAACAACATCAACATCAACATTCACATTCAATGTCGCGAACCAGGCAAGTCGCCCAGCTCAAAAAGGGGTAATTACCCAAGCCGGGCAGGTTATCCACGGAACAACGACCAAACATCAAACATCAAACCTCGGGATTGCCTTGAGGGGGGCGGCGAAAGGCGGTCTGGCCCTACCTTTCCTCTTTCACTCACATCGGAACCGGGTTCATCCTGAAACCAAACTCCAATAGGCAGATTAATCCGGCGGCGAGCAAATGAGCTCATCGCATGCAGCACGTGCAGCCATCGCAGCCTATCAGATGCGCGCGCAGTCCGATTTGGGGCCTGATTGACCAAATGGAAAGGGCATGAATCGGCTGGCTGGCTTGTCTCGCACGATGACGAGTTCAATCGTATCTCAAGGTTTTCCTACATCGATTGGGAGTTCATCCTAGTTCCCTTCGCTTCTTGCCCCCTTGTGTGCCCTGTCTTGGTTTGCTCTTTCTCCTCTTCCTCCTGTTGGTCCGGCTCGTAATCGAGATAATAATGACCGTCCCGGTTCCAGACTATTGGGTCGCTTGATTCGAACAGGAAAAGAAGAGCAGCAAAAGAAAGTTTTCGAGGCGTCGGCTGCTCCTACGGGAGCTGAAAGTTTCTCTCGTCCTTCGTTTTGCCTGTTTAACTATATATGTCTTAATACTACTACTACTACTAGCTCCAGTTGTCGTTTTCTCGCCGTGACTCGTCGCCAATGCGATCGTTGCTTCTGCTATATACTCTCGTGCCCGCCGTTTGCTCGTTTGCGTTTAGTATCATGCCCGGCTATAGCTCCATTTGCTCACGATGAAATTCGCCAAGTTAGTTTCATTCCTTCCAACTACCTGAAGCTTGTGTGTGAGAATCCAGAATAACCGGCTGTTCGTTCTGAAATTAGGGAGCTGGAACAGCAACTGGTTCCAGAGTGGCGCGCCAAATATCTAGATTATAAGGTCAGTATATCCGTTGCCGTACTGACGTTTTTTTCTTTTTATATTTTGATTTAAGCTACAATTTGGATGCTAACGGGTCTCTTGCTTTTTTTACCTTCTAGACCGGCAAGAAGAAAGTCAAAGCGATCTCTCGCGCTCTTCAAAAAACCTCTCGAAGCCCCAGTCATCCCTCTCTTCAACAACACAATGCTTCCGCGCATGACGACCAAGATGACCGTCCTGCTGGTTCTGATGGTCCCTCCCACATTCCTTCCACCCCTATAAGAAGCAGTGGTCCTACGCCACGCTCACCGCGCTCAGGCTCTAGCCGCAGCGAGCGTCAGCCCCTGCGTGTACCCGGCTCTAGGTTTTCAGGTGTCATTGGAAGCTACGGAAGTATCGTTCCCTCTCCTCCGCTGAACGCTGCATCATCGGATGTCGCCTCCCTTCGACTGCCAGATCCCGCGATCGACCCAAAGCATAATGACTACTCGTCGGAGAGGGATGCGGAGCAGACCAGTGTACCTGAGACACCGTCGCCGGTGATGTCGCGACATGCGAGCACACGAACTGCGACCAAGGGCATAGTTCAGCGGAGTCCTACGACGCCCCAGAAGGATCATAAGCGGAATGCAACCCCAGGCCCTCCAAACCGGAGAGGTTCGTTGCTCCAGCGCGTCCTGTCCTATCAGGACTGGGATTCCCCAGAGAAGCGTGGAGCGGATGGATCTTCTGAGTTCGAGAAGCGCCAGGACGAGTTCTTCGCCTTCTTGGATAGCGAGTTGACCAAAATAGAATCCTTCTATCAGATGAAGGAAGAGGAGGCCGCAGAACGCCTCAAAGTGCTTCGTCATCAGCTGCATATCATGCGGGACCAACGCACACAGGAAGTTCTAGGTGCCAAGTTGGCCCGGCCAGAGAAAGAAGGAATGCCAAAGTCTCATGCATTCGGCCCCCTAGGTGGCCTCGCTGGCTTCGGCATACGCGGTGCTCTCACTGGACGTCATTTCGGGAAAAACTCTAAAGCCCTTGCAGAGTTGGGCACCCCTTCAGCAGCCTTACAAGGACAGGATCCCGACCATACGGTGTCGCGTCGCGATTTCATCCGTCGGCCCGAGGACCCGACCAACAGCGATGTATCCTATCGCTCCGCTAAAAGGAAGCTGAAGCACGCGCTTCAGGAGTACTACCGCGGTGTGGAGCTGCTGAAGGCGTACGCCTACCTGAACAGGACTGCTTTCCGGAAGATCAACAAGAAATATGACAAGACTACTAATGCGCGTCCTACGCAGCGTTATATGTCTGAGAAAGTGAACAAGTCGTGGTTCGTTCAAAGCGAGGTCACTGAGAATCTGCTGTCCGCTGCAGAGGACCTGTACGCTCGTTACTTCGAGCGCGGCAACCGCAAGATCGCCGCTTCGAAATTGCGCCACACTATCAATAAATCCGGAGATTATTCTCCGTGCACGTTCCGTGCCGGTGTGCTCTTGATGGGTGGTGTCCTGTTTGGCGCTCAGTCATTAGTATATGCCGTGCAGAACCTTCATGATCGGGATGGTGAACTAAAAACTTACACAAGCTACTTGCTACAGGTCAGTATTTATCGTTCTGAGTGCCTGCTGATAGCTAACTGTGCACAGATATATGGGGGCTATTTCCTCGTTGTACTTCATTTCCTACTGTTTTGCCTAGACTGTATGGTCTGGACTCGGGCCAAGATCAACTACGTCTTTGTGTTTGAATATGATACCAGGCATGCATTAGACTGGCGTCAGCTTACTGAGGTATGGTGCTTTATCGTGGTTTTTTGATTGTGTCTGACTGTAACAGCTGCCGTCATTTTTCTTCTTTCTGCTGGGTCTCTGCATGTGGCTCAATTTCATGTCAGTTAATAGCATGTATATATATTGGCCTGTTGTCCTTGTCGGCTTGACCACGGTCCTTCTTTTCCTGCCCGTGCGGACACTGTACCACCGCAGCCGCAAATGGTGGGCATATTCTAATGTGAGTGAAGCCGTCCATAGCGGGTCCTAAGTCACTGCTAACGAATCTAGTGGCGTCTGCTTCTGGCAGGGTTCTATCCGGTTGAGTTCCGTGATTTCTTTCTGGGAGACATGTATTGCTCCCAGACATATGCCATGGGTGTGAGTAATCCGGTTGTCGTACGCTTAACGTGTTGTGGCTAATTTGTGTTAGAATATCGAATTATTTTTCTGTCTCTACGCACATTATTGGGGTAACCCTCCCCAGTGCAATTCTTCGCATTCCAGGCTGCTTGGGTTCTTTACCTGCCTACCGGGCATTTGGAGAGCTTTGCAGTGTCTGCGACGTTACGCAGATACTAGGAACGTCTTCCCGCATTTGCTGAACTTTGGCAAATACACGTTCACTATTCTGTACTATGTCACTCTGAGCTTGTATCGCATCGATAAAGCGGAACGTTTCCAGGCTACGTTCATCACCTTTGCGCTGCTCAACGCCGTGTATGTGTCGGTTTGGGACCTTGTCATGGATTGGAGTTTGGGGAACGCCTACGCCAAACGCCCGTTGCTGCGTGATGTCCTGGCGTTCCGTAAAGCATGGGTATACTATGTTGCGATGGTCATCGACGTTATCGTGCGATTCAACTGGATCTTCTATGCCATCTTCACGAAGGATATGCAGCACTCCGCGTTACTCAGCTTCTTCGTGGCGCTGTCAGAAGTCTGCCGACGAGGTATCTGGACGATCTTCCGTGTGGAGAATGAGCACTGCACCAACGTCCTGCTGTTCCGGGCGTCCAGGGATGTGCCTCTGCCATACCAGGTCTCCCTCCCGCCAGCGCAGGTTGACCAACAAGCAGATGGTGTGCCCCTGGAAGAGCAGCAACCGCAAGCACACGATGTGGAGCACGGCACCCCGTCCACTCCAGGCATGTCGGTCCGCAATCGCGGCCTCTCCCGTGTCGGCTCGTTGCTGGCTTCAGCGCATGCACAGGACTTTCAGCGGAAGAAGCGTCCGGGCCAAGATCCAGGTGACCAGCCACTCCGTGGCTCAGAGGATACGCCAGATGACTCCACTGACGACGAATACCATGACGGCAGAGCCTCCTTGGACGATGATGTGATTATGGAAGAGCTTCCGTTCCACGAAGAGCGAAACTAGAGGGGAAGCAGACGGTGACTTATGGGTGACAACTTGCTTTACGATTTCTTTTTGATGGCATATATATACTTATTACGATAGATATGATACATACTAACATATTAGAGGCATGCGATAGGAGTTAATGGAGCACTACAGTACTACTATGATCCTGAAAGGTTCTGCCATAATTGAATCCTCACATGAAATGTTGTATAGACCAATTTGATAGGGTAAACGTAAGTGAATCTTATGCATACTACTAGAACATACTAGATGGCGATAGTAAACCTCTGCCTAAGGCACAAAACCACTATCATGTGACACCACCGACGTCACCTGCCCCGGAGCGCCGTTGAGCCGCGGCGCCGCAGCGGTTCTCGGCCCTCTCTCTCCTCTCCTTCCTTTCCCCGATTAGTCTATCCTACTATCTAATATGACAGACTGTCCCATCAACTCATTCCATCCATACTACTAGTCTGACAGCGTCAGAGACAACTGAAATTCATCGCAGTTGCAAATGGCAGCGAACACCAGATACGAGCCTGCTCCGCAGCGCGACTCCTTCGAGGAGCGCGCCTATCCTCAACCCCCGCCGTCTTATCAGGCAACGGCCGACTACTCGCAAGCAGCGCCACGCAGCGAGGACGACAATGTTCCTGATGATTTCAAGGTACATACACCACCACTTTCAACAAATAAGCTTGCATTATCTGAGAGAACAAAACCAACTGACAATGTAATTGCTTAGTTCGGCGGCACCGTCGCGGAGGGCACCTTGCCCATCCGTATGCAGTTCATCCGGAAGGTCTATTCCATCTTGTAAGCACCATCACCACATCCACCCCAAGAAAGCAATAATCAAGAATAGCATCAGAACAAAACTGACAAGAGAGTAATCACAAACAGAACGGCCCAACTCCTCCTCACCACCATCCTCAGCTCCATCTCCTTCTTCTCCCCCAGCTACCGCCTCTGGATCCAATCCAACTTCTGGCTCATGATGGTCTCCGTCTTCGGCGCCGTAGGCTTCATGCTCGTCACCTACTGGAAGCGCAAATCCTACCCGGCCAACCTCCTCTTCCTATCCGGATTCACCCTCCTCGAAGCCTACTCCATCAGCGTCGTGACCTCCTTCTACGATGCCCGGCTCGTCATCCAGGCCCTCATCCTCACCCTCGGTCTCTTCGTCGCTCTCACCCTCTTCGCCTGCCAGACCAAGTATGACTTCACTAACTGGATGCCCTACCTCTTCGGTGGCCTGTGGTTCCTGATCTTGTTTGGCTTCGTGGCTGTGTTTTTCCCTGCGAATAGCACCGTCGAGCTGATTTATGGGGGCCTTGCGGCGTTGATCTTCTCCGCGTATATTCTTGTTGATACCCAGTTGGTGATGAGGCATTATCATGTTGAGGAGGAGATTGCCGCGAGCATTTCGCTCTATTTGGATATCTTGAATTTGTTTTTGGCGATTTTGAGGATTCTGAATAGTCAGAATAATAACTAGGTTGGGATAACCTGGTTGTTATTTTGATGGGTTGAAGAAAGGAAAGGTGGTAGTGGGGGTAAATGTGGATTGATACAGATTGTGCTACTTGCTGGTGGTGGTGGTGGTGGTGGTTGAGGAAACGCAGTGAGTGATCGTGAGATGGACTCTCTTCTACGTTTTATGCGGTGATAAAATACCTCGCCTGACTTGCTTGTATTGCCTAATGATATTGTACTCATCCGTTAGCTTTAGTCGCGTTGTTTCTTGATGGGTAGTAGATCGACTTCAATAAGTTCTGTGTTTATCTGAACCGGAGTATCTATCTATGGAAAGCAAGGAACCGGATTCATAGAAGATAACTTTACAGAGCCAAGACAAGCTACCTAGCAAGAGAGATGGAAAGGTAAGAGAGTAAAGGCATCATTAGATTGAAAAAAATGTATTCCAAGGTTTAAGACGTTAATCTAAACCGGACCAAACACGAACCCCAACGCCGGTGCAATGGTATAGCGTGCAGAAACCCCAACATTGTAACCGTTGGACGAAGAGAGCCCAGATCTAGATCGCAAACCCGAAAGGAAACCAACAGATGCAAGAAACAAAAAAATAAACTTAAGAAAAGAAGATTGGTAGGGAGTGTCTAAATTTAGTAGGAAAGCGGAAAAGGTCACCTCACACGAGGGCCAAAAAGCTAGTGGACGGAAATGGAACGCATCCAGATCTTTTCACTTTCCCCGCATCCAAAACCAAACCAAAACCCATCTAGTGAGAAGCAATGAAAACAGAGTTCGTGATCAGGCATACGACCATAACCACCACCCCGTATACTACGAGTGCCAAACTTAACTTTCGTAGAAGGGTACGGCGCCAGTTGCGTTTTCCTCGGCGGAGGATGCCGCTGTCGGTTAGGGGGCGTGCCTGCACGCTCTCTTCTCCGTCTTCATCGTTGCTATCATCGGATAGCATACCTTCCGCTGCTTCGTCGTCTTCTTTCATCAGACGCTGGTGGTGGGGCGAATCGGGAGAGGAGATCTTGTAATAGAACAATCCGGGGAGAATGAAGCTGATGCTGGTGCTTCCTGTGCTGCCGACATAGGCAAGAACGGCCTCCAAGGAAGACACAGTCATGGCCACAATATAGCTCAGGACAAGGATGGTAGTCGTAATGATCGAGAATCGGAGGTCACTCATCGGCTCCGCAGTCCGGCCGCCCCTCTGCCCCAGGAGGGGGTTCCGGTGAGGGGAGGTGTCGCTATTGGACGAGGACTTGGGCCTCCAGCGCAGCACTGCGTCAACGGAGGCCCGGCACGGGTGGCACTGAAGAGGATACGAGAACATGACAAGCATGACGATAGCAGCGCGGCCAATCGTGGCCCAAAGACCCGGTGGGTACATGCTCACGATATTCCCGCCGACACTGTTTCCAAAGGAGAGGTACCCAGTAATGGCCACAAGAATGTAAGTGGCGGCAGAACTGCCGATACTGGCCAGGACAACACCGGTGGTTCGGAAATGGCTGTTGTTGCCGATCTCGTTCAGGATTGAGAACATCTGGGGTGCACGTCAGAGCAATGAACCATGGAAGTAAAGATCTGGGTTGTGGGTCTCGGGACATACGTTCTGATGGCATGTAAACGCGAAAACAATCACAGGCAGACTGCTGAGGGTAGGTACAGGGCCTGCCCAGTGAATCACTCGAACCGGACCACGGTCCTCCATGGTGTCCCCCTTCACAAAGTGGTATACGACCAAAACCACCAAGTAGGCCATCGAGACCAGAGCTGCAATACTTGTATACTTGAGCGAATCCAAGCGACGGAGGTACGAGAGAGGGATAACAATCAGCCTGAAACTAGTTAGCTCTGTCCGACGCACTCAATGCCGTAGTCAGCGTACATGAAGGCTGTTACCCAGAAGTGCCGGTCCACCAAAAAGTCATAGTCGGGAGCACCTCCAACAAATCCTTGAACCACGCCCGGCATCAGATCGCCAATGATGATGAGGTAGCTGATACCGACTCCGAAACATTTGACCGCAATGGCGGCATCGAAGATGACAGCGATATTAGGATAGGTGATCTGGGATAAGGCAAAGAAGGATGCAGTGCCTCGTTCGAGATATCGGGCACATAGAGACTGGAGATATAGACCGAAACCTGCGGTCATTCCTGACCACAAAATCACAAAGACACCTAGGACGATTCCCATATGAGAGATGGCCAGCGGCATGGCCATAACACCGGCACCAATAACTAACAGACAAGGACAGAGCATGAGTCAGTAACGATTGCGGAGTAAAGGTATATGATTTCCGGCCCGACTTACTTGTGTTAACTAAGTTGATCACACAGCTGACCCAACTGGCGTCGCCATGATGTCCAATGCTTCGTTTCCCTTTGCCGCCGTGTCTGCGACCGATGGGTACCTGTCAGCGATAAGGCTTAAGAGCAGGGGAAGTACTTCGAATTGGAGGTAGTATAGGTTACCTTCGAGAACCGGCTCGAGGGGAGCCAATCCCGACGGAAGCTTCGTCGTCCATCATTGTGAAGGAGTAAGTTGGAGGAAGAGTCGAGTTGTGTTGAGGAGGTGGTAGAAGTAGTTCTTTTGGAGGCGGTAGATAAGGATTGAAGGTGGCCACACGACAAAAGATTGCGGGTGATCAACCAACCATAGTCGGTCGAAGTTCACTCGAACCAGCGGTGCAGCGGGAGATGTGCTCGGAAGTCGGTAAGGAACGGAAAACAAATCAGCGAAGAAGTTAGTTGGAAAGGGAGAATTATAGGAGAAATTAAGAAAAAAGAGGGGTTGGAGAAGGGAAAGGCATCCGGAGATAAGAAGAAGGAAAAGGGAAAGGGAATGAACAGCGCAATCCAAATGCCGCCGAAGGAGCGGAGGCGGTGGAGAGCCTTGGTTAGTCAGTCCCTTTATCGCCCTCCGCCATTGGTGGCTTCACTTCTTTTTCCCCAGATTGTCACGACTACAACCTTCCTACTATATTGTCTACTAGTTGTCTACTTGGTAGTATCATGCGATGTTATCAGAAGCTCATAATCAATTTCAGAAGAAGGCTGGTTTTGAAGCATTGTTTTGTTGCTTAGAAGATTTACAGACTTACTGCTGTGGTAAGGACAGTAAGCCAGGTCATGTACTTACTGAGACAGTGAGTGGAGTACTACTCCAGGCTGAAGCACAGGTCATACACCATTCCTTAGTGCCCTCGCGCAATCTGCAGAGTGCCAGTCTGCCTTGACCCAGTAATACGCAATACTACCTTCCGTAGCTGGCGACAGGATGAGACTGGAAAGAGTTTCCACATTTGGCTGAATCTGGCCTGAGTCATCCAAACCAGCCACACCGTAGTTAACTAACTAACTAGTCAGTCAACTAACGGAGTAAGCATATCAATACTTCTCGTGCTTGCCTGACATGTAGTCATCTGACCTCTCGAATTGTATTATATGCTCTATTCCGTTAATCTAGTATTTACAACTTGGGCACTAATTATATCTTGATTTGGTAATTATGAAGTATTAAATTTCACTTTTTATAAAATTATTTCATGATAGTTGTATAAGTTGTTACTATGAGGGCTATTTTAAGTTAAACTATCCATGCTGCTTAAGACAACAGCGATCTAGTTCTGCTACCCCCAAGTCCCTGCACACAATAATCCTCTTCTTTCTAGATAATCACATAATCAGTTGTCAACATAATGTGGCTTCCCATCAATGCTGGAGATACCAACCCTTTCAGCATAACCGCAGATACCACCCCTTTAGTCCTAGATGAATCAACACGCACCCTCTACAACCGCGCCATCTCCGACCCCTCCTCACTAACGGATCAAGAACGTCGACTAATCACCTACCGCCCCCCACCAGACGAGGAAGACACCCTCTGTCGAAATGCCTGCGGCTTGTCCATGGGTGAACTAATTACCAAAGCCATCAACAGCAGCAGCAACACCAGTGATGACATCCCCCTTGGCAGCCTCGGCCTGAGCCATAAAGAAGCCAGTCTTTTAACGACCGGCGTAGTCGAGGGGCAATCAGGCCGTATCCTGTCCGAGGTGGCGCGCCTTTCTCCTGAAGACCGGGACCTTAAAGCTCGAGCTATAGTAGCGGCGAGGACGGACGATATTCGGGCTGCTATTGAGGTGGCGCAGAGGGTTCTGCAGCGATGGCGAAAGGCGGAATTGGCGGCGGCCAACATGCTGAACGATGATGACATTAGGAATATTCTGTTTGCCTTGAGGGTTCCTTGGCAGGAGCATGTACTGCAATCCAGTTCAGCTTCGGCGCGTGATGCTGCCCTTGGTGAAGCAGGTGGTCGCTTTGGTCTCGTGGTATTCTACCCGAAAGAAGAAGAAGAGGAAGGAGGACGCCTTCCAGAATATAAACCCCTAATCGGAACGGCTGTTTACCATGGACTACACTATTCAGCGAGGTTGATTAAGGACGAGACGAGAGACTGGTTCGCATTGCACTGGGTGGCTGTTCCAGGTAGTACTAGTAATAACAGCATGGAAGCGAGTGCACTACGAAGCAGGTTCAGGACAATGCTCCAAAATGGTGAGGTCCCGGCTGGCTTTCGGCGCGATGCTTTTCTATATCTGGATGACGAGGCTTTCCGCTCGCGTGAAACCACACGGTCGTATCTCTGGTTAGCTGAGCCTGAACCCCTGTTTGAGACAAAGACAGAGCACGAGACAAACCCAAAATCGGATACTGGAACTGGGACTGGAGCTGCGACTGGAGCTCAGCATGAGGCTTTACAACCCCTTAAAGTCGACATCAAGCATATCGCCCCGACTTTGTTTGCGCGATTGGTCCAGCGCGATCTCCAGGGCGAGGCGAGACGAAAGCCCTATCGATATACCTCGGAGCTGACCAGGTTGCATGCGGCCGTCAATGCGAAATATAGAGAGGATAGAGATGGGATTTGGCCGCCACCTGCTCGATTCCAGTAGTTGAAGCTATGCGAAACTGGCTCATATTACCTATTGTGAGTAGATCATGGTTATTCGTTTTCGGAATTGCTTAAGCTTTCAGCATCCTGAAAGCCAAAGTAGTATTAGTATATTTTCTATCTCCATCTCTCTACAACTTGGGCACTCCCCATCCAGGCTGCGACAGCAGACCAAGTGTCTCGTTTATCACTGCACTGTTATCGGAGACCGTATTACCTGGACGATCTCCAGGCCCAGCATCATTGAAAGGCTCTACTGCCCGAACTGTCTTGGAGACCTCTAGGATAGTTCCACCACTAACTGGGTACTGGGGACCACGACCACTCTGATCCCTAATGATACCGCTCACCTTGTCCTGTTGGATAAGCGCCAACATGACCTCTGCTACTTCTTCTGGAGTTACCCATGCATCCGCCCCTTCATTCACTACCTTGAGCTTTTCAGGATGGTCCGTCCACAACGGTGTCTTAATAACTCCCGGCGCAACAGCTGTGATGCGGATCCCGCACTCCTGGTCCAGGCCCGCCAACGACCGTACCAAGCCATTGATGCCGTGTTTCGTGGCGACATAGATCGGGGCGATGAAGTTGGGGTTCTGGCCGGCAATACTGGAGATGTGGACGATGTGCTTGCGTCGCTGCTTGTTGCCATGGCGCAGAAAATGGGCAATGGCTAGCTGTGTCGTGCGAATCGGATGCGTGAGGTTGATATCAAGAAGGGCGTAGCGACCTCCATACCGCGGGTCACGGCTTTCAGGGGTTCCCGGCGGACGCCAGAAGTTGGTCCAGTGCTGTGAGGTAAAATTGGGCGTGAGCAATCGAACGTGCCTGCAGCATACTACTCCTTGCGCGATGCATAACACTGGTATCAGTGGATAGGGAAACTATACCGGTTCAAAGATGCCTGCGCCAGGACAGACAATATCGAGCTCTCCAAATTCCTGCTCTGCTACCTCGAACATGCGCTCGAGCTGTTGCCAATCGGTCACGTCGGTCCGCTGGAAGATGGCTCGTGGCGTCTTCCCCTTCGCTGAGTATTGATCCACTAACGTCTTTGCCTCTGGACGTAGAGCTAGGTCGGCGAACAGGACATTGCATCCATGCTCGAGGAGAAGTTTGGCGAAGGACAGGTTAATTCCTACAATTACAACTTAGAGTGAGGTTTGCTTATCGGCCGAATACCATGCGTGACGAACCTGAACCTGCCCCCGTCACGATAGCAGCTCGGCCTTGAACGGCGAAGGACATTCTAAAGCAGGATTGAGGCCCAGGGAGCTGCAATGGGGAGTGTGGTTTGGCGGTTAGGTGGCTTTCTGCCGAGTGGCCCTGTGCTACTTTATAGCTGTTCCGGAGGGGTTCGATAGGGGACCCAGGCCTACCCCATGGGCATGTCGCTGTATCACTAGACCGAGGACGAGAGCCCTAAAGGTGGTAGAAACCCGGAACAAGACCGAGGACAAGTCATCAACTCCTATCTGACCGCTGCCTCTCGGGGTGCTCCCCTCGGTGAAAGTGCCGATCAGCTCGCTTGAAGTCATTGGCAGCGAGACCTGATTCACTGCGTTCTGTGCAGGACGTGCAAGGGCGGTTGCAGCGGATCTGTTATAGAGGGTGCCTTCGTATCAATTGCCTATCGGTAAGTACGATGGCTAGTCTGAACTGTAGCCCCGAGCCATGATCTGATAAATCCCAGCTTCCTTCTAATTTTCGCCTCTGAAATACGTATGAGACAACCTCGAGTGAAGGCAATAGTTCATTCCGGGGCAATGTGGATCCCGCAAAGAGCAACATTCCCGCATTTTCTTGTTGCCGCTTTTTGCGGGGGAGGCGGGGACCTTCTTTATCAAGTAATCGGGCCGACTGCTGGATATGGGTTTCCGACAATAATCCGCCCCAGCTGCAGGTATATCAATCGCAAGAGGTCTGTCTGCCAGTGATCAGAAATATCGAGATTCCAAGTACCCATTGGAAAGATAGATATCATGTCTATGTCTAAAATTCTTTCAAAAACGGCCGCCCGCGCCGCGTCCACGTCGACTTCAGCGTCGTCGATGACCAAGGCTGCGGGCGATATCTCCAGCGTCTTCCCCAGTTTGAGACCAGACTATAAGCCAGAGCCCCTACCCCCGCGGTTCAGGGATCTGAAGCTGAAATACTTTGAAAAGAATGAAAAAGCTCTGAAGGAAAGTTGGGAGCGACTCCTTCCCAGCTTGGAAGAGGAAGTGCACAAGATTAAGACCAAAGGAAGCGATGTAAGTTCCCATGGCATCTTCTGTATGTATGAGTGACACTGACAAAAGGTCCAGATCATCCCATCAGTGCAATATTCAGATGTCGTCAATGACACCGTCCCAGACCATCTTCTTGCGGAGATCCGTCACAGAGGTTCCGTGGTCATCAGAAACGTGGTGCCTCGAGAGAAAGCCCTCGACTGGAAGGAGCGGATCAAGGACTATGCTGCTGCCAACCAAGAGCGCGTGAAGGCCTTCCCTCCCGACTCCCCAGCAGTCTATGAGCTGTACTGGACTCCATCCCAAGCAGAGGCCCGAGCACATCCGAGCATGCTCGGTACCCAGCGCTTCCTGCAGCGTCTCTGGCACTCGTCCGATCCGGACACTCCGATTTCGACTCGGAATCCTTTGACCTACGCAGACAGACTCCGCATCAGGCAACCCGGCGACGCAAAATTCACACTCGGCCCTCATATTGACGGTGGATCATTGGAGCGCTGGGAGGACATTGAATACTCCCGAGTCTACTCCAAAATTCTGGAGGGAAAATGGGAAGAATACGACCCATGGGACGCCAAGCACCGTGTCTCGGCCAACATGGACTTGTACAACGGCGCTGGTTCCTGCTCCATGTTGAGATTCTTCCAAGGATGGCTGTCCATGTCCAACACAGCTCCCGGCGAAGGCTCGCTGCATGTTTGCCCCATGGTCATTCAGAGTACCGCTTACACTATCCTCCGACCTTTCTTCGACCCAGCCTCCTCGCAGCCGGTGCTGGATAACACATTCCCTGGTGCCGTACCCGGAACATGCCAGGAATACAACCCCGTCACGCATCCTCACCTGGACCTGGAAACCACCATGGTGTCCGTCCCCGAGGTGGAACCCGGTGACTACGTTGCCTGGCACTGCGATTCCTTGCACTCCGTCGATAAGGAACATCGCGGCAAGGGAGACTCCAGCGTTCTCTACATCCCTGCCACGCCTATGTGCGAAATGAACGTGAACTACCTGCTCAAGCAGCGCCAGGCTGCGCTTGCTTACTCCCCGCCTTGGGATTTCCCCGGCGCTGGTGGACCCGGTGAGATCGGTTTCCAGGGAGCACTTGACTGGAGCTCGATTGATGCAGAGGGCCTGCGCGCCATGGGTATGGGAAGTCAGCCATGGGATATTACCGACGACATGACCGAGGGAGAGAAGGCGGTTGTCAGAGCTGCCAACAAGACCTGCTTCGGGCAAGCATGAGATTCTTGGATATGATGAGCATTACTTCAATTCGCCAGATTGTATTTGTACATAGAATAGCATCAAAATGTATATGAATTCGGACTATATCATCGTTCTAGTAGCAGTATGAAGGACCTTACTCGCAACGATCAATTTTAGGTAGAGGACATACGTCGCACTTCAATTTGTTTTACGCATGGTCACGTCAATTTCAGCCATAGTAGCACCCATCAGTAAATGTCGTAAAAGCTGTTCTTAGTAATGAAGAATTGGTAGAAGTGCAATCAAGTAAGAAGCTGAAGCTGTAGTGGAGACAAACCGGGGGGAAAGGGATTCTGCCCGATGATACATCACCGCCCGTCATCGATGATCCGCAGCTTATCGTTAGTCGGCCACCATCACATCCAGCTACCTCTCTCCTCTGTCGCCCTCCAATGCCCGACCGGAAACATCTGTCATAATTATGTGGCTACAGGCGACGCTTCTCTTGCTCGCCTCGTGCGTTCCCTCGTCCCTGGCCATCTACCGGGACGAGGTCAACCATGTCGACTACCATCACGCACTGCTCGGCTTTCCCACATCCCAATCGACCTTCTTCCTCAAACCGTCCGCTTCCTCCAATGCCTCCTTACTCTATACACTCTCGGAGAAGTCGCTGCTCGGTGCTGTGAACCCCAGAGACGGCTCCCTTGTCTGGAGACAGAACCTCTCGCGTTCTGATCTGCCCGCTGCTGGAAACAATCCCCACGGTCTTCTCCGCGCCTCCGAAGGCACAAACGCCCTGGTCAGCGCGCTAGGCGATTACATTTCTTCGTGGACTGCTCTGGATGGAAAATTGATCTGGGAACACTGGTTTGAGGGCGAAGTGCTCGCTGATCTCGAGCTTCTGGAGCTGGAGGATGTCAGTGCGGCTCCGTCGACCAAAGACAATGTGGCGCTTTGGAGCGGAAAGGCTGGCGTTGTCCGAAGGCTAGATGGAGATTCGGGTCGGACGAAGTGGGAGCACTTGGACGAAAGGTACGAATATACTTGAAACTGACTTCTGTTGGAGCTTCCATCGCTGATATTTCCCGGTAGCGGCGATATTCCCCTCCAATTGTCGTCATCGGCCACCGAGGTCTTCTACGTCGCTCTGCAGCCCTCCTCCCGGAAAGGATACAGAATCAAGGTTACTTCTTTGGATCCCTTGACCGGTCGCCAAACTCGACAGCATATTCTGAGCTCGGAAAGCGACTTGTCTAGCACCAACTCAGTCCTCTTCGTGGGCGCGAACACTGCCGCACCCATGATTGTCTGGGCGGATCAGTCATTCAAAACGCTCAAGGTCAACGTCATCGGTACGAAACAGGTACACTCGTTCGATATTGAAAATACAAGTGGTGAGAGTGTCAGCTCCATCACGGTTCATGCTCCCAAGAAGCTCGAATCGCTGCCGCATTTCCTGGTGCACTACGAGACGGAGTCTACCACTTGGGCGGAAGTTTATCACGTTGACTTGAAGTCCGCTTCGGTGACCAAGGCCTACGAACTTCCTCGCTTGCAGGGATGGTCCGTTTTCTCGACGAGCAACAAGGATGCCAACGTCTACTTCACCCGCATCACTCAGTCTGAGACCACTGTCGTCTCTTCTGTCTCTCACGGAGTATTGGGAAGATGGGTCCACCAAGCTCCCCCTATGGAGCAAGCTTTGCATTCTGTATCGGAGGTCGTTGCCAAGGATAAGAGCGTTGCTGTTCGGACGGCCGCTGCCTTGGAATCTGGCGACTGGCAATTGATTCGCAATGGCCAGACCGAATGGACTAGATATGAAGCTCTGTCGGGTGCTCTGGCCGCTACTTGGGTCCAGGAGGCCGTTCAGGAGGATCTGGCTCATCAACTGGAAGTTGAGGGTCACGAAAGCCTTTACGGGGCCTACGTGCACCGCGTTAAGCGTCACGCCAGAGACCTTCAGCATCTTCCTGAGTGGCTGAAGGGGCTGCCCAAGCGCATTTTGACCAGTATCTTGACCGATGAGGTCTCCAACCTCGATAGTTTTGGTATTGTCAAGTCTGTTATTGTGGCCACAGAGAACGGAAGAGTCTACGCCCTTGATGCCGCCAAGCACGGCGCCGTGTCTTGGAAGGTCAAGGCTGCGGAAGCGGACTCGTGGAATGTGAAGGCTATTCTGGCCCATCCTGGCACTGCTACGGTGTATGTCGATGATGGCAGCTCTGTCACTCTAGATGCCTCATCTGGCGAGATTCTGGCGCGCACCCCGGGCACTGCAAAGATCCGCTCGGTTGCCGTCGCCCACGATGGCACCGCTCCCCGTACCGTCGGCATTAAGGACAATGGTACACCCTTGGAGTCTATTGATGGCCCGGGTTTCTTCATAACGCTTAGCGATGATGGCCGTGTCCTCGGATGGGCTGCTCGCGATAACAAGCACCCTGTCTGGCAGTTCCTGCCCACCTCAGGCGAGAAGATCATCCACGCCACCGCGCGGCCCTCCCACGATCCTGTTGCCTCTATCGGTAAAGTCCTGGGCAACCGGTCTGTTCTCTACAAGTACCTAAACCCCAACCTCGCCCTCATCACCGCCGTGGGTGAGAGCTCTGCTACCTTCTATCTCCTTGATGCCATCTCCGGCAAGATCCTTCACTCCAGCACCCACCAAGGAGTCGACCCCACACAGCCCATTTCCTCCGTTGTCTCGGAGAACTGGTTCGCCTACTCCTTCTGGGCAGACACTGTCGACTCTTCCAGCGCCAAGGGCTACCAACTGGTGATTTCCGAGCTATACGAGTCTCCCGTTCCCAATGACCGCGGCCCGCTGGACGCAGCCTCCAACTACTCTAGCATCAGTGACCTCCCTCTGCCCCACGTGATCTCGCAAGCCTTCATCATCCCGGAACCTATCTCTCACATGGCCGTCACTCAGACCCGCCAGGGCATCACCACTCGCCAACTCCTCTGCACTCTTCCCTCCTCAAACGCCATCATCGGCATTCCCCGTCCCGTCCTTGACCCCCGCCGTCCTGTCGGCCGGGACCCCACCTCCACCGAAGCCGAAGAGGGTCTCTTCAAGTACAACCCCTTCCTCGAGTTCGATGGCAAATGGTACCACACGCATTCCCGGGACGTCGCAGGTATCAAGAATGTCCTTTCCGCCCCGACCCTGCTGGAAAGTACTAGCCTGATCTTCGCCTTTGGCGGCGATATCTTCGCTACACGGGCAACTCCCAGCCAGGCATTCGATGTCCTGGGCAAGGGATTCTCCAAGTTGCAACTGGTCTTGACTATTGTGGCGTTGACGGCTGGTGTGATTGTTCTTGCTCCGATGGTACGTCTCACCCCTCACCTTATCCATTTATCTGTATCCCTTGACTAGTAAACAGCTGGCTAACCAAAATATCGTTGAACAGGTCAAGAGAAAGCAGATCAACATGATCTGGAAATCCACATAAACACTAGTCTGATTTAGTTTAACTTGCGTTGCGATTGATGTATTATAGCGAAACGTTAGGATGGGATAGGACGGGATTAGGGTGGTAGTAGATGAAGCTGCTCACCTACCTACTTGCCTTTACCTACTACTACCATTTACTTTAGATATACGATACGATGTAAAGACGTAATATAACATACATACAGTTATAGTGGTTCTATTCCTACTATTGAATACCAGTAGTAACTGTAATGGTCTTATTTCTCCTCGATTTCCTCGTTGAGGAATGGGAGTTCGAATCATTCAAAAAAAAAAAAAAAAAAAAAAAAATACGTTGTATACTAACGAACTCGTACTGCCTCTTTACACCAATAATTCAAGATGAATTACTAAGATAGATCGAGAACTTTCGCAGCGGAAATGATATATATAACCCGCAAACCAGACCCAAGTTCACCTCAATGTGAACAGTAATGCGACGCGATTTCTTATAGGTCAAGAAGCCCGGAACAGTGATGGAAAAGCCAACTAGCAGAAACATAGACGAAGTATGAAAATGACCATAATTATATGACTAAAGCCCGAAAAAAGATGCATCTTTCTATGATGATGACGGTTGCTGCGCACACACCCAAGTCACACCTATGACAGATCCTGAAAAAAATATGGAAAAAGAAAAGTAGTATATAAGACAATGATGATGCTTGTTCAAGCCCGGAAAGGACAATACAAGATGTGAGAAAAACCAATGGTAGGAAAGTGGTATATTATCTAGAATAGCAGTGTAGCTTGTGGGAGAAGAGGATAAAGAAAACCGCTGACGCCGTGCGTTGGGTTCTATTAGTAGTATCTTCGACGGAGAAAGAGAAGAAAAAATTAGTGAAAAGTGTGTTAGGAAGAGATTGGAAACGCATGACTTATGCAGTCACTGGTTGTGTCTCAGTCTCCGATGTGGGAGCCGGTTCTTGCAGGGGGACTTTCTCGTTCTCGCTGGTCTGCTCCTGCTCAGTGGGCTTTTCATCCTGCACTGGAGAGGTGGTGTTCGATTGAGCAGGAGTTGCGCCAACAGGGATGTTGGACTTGCGGCTCTCGCCGTTCACCTTTCCGAGGACTTCGATGTGGTCGTCCTTGAACAGAACTGGGCCCTTAATGAAGTCGGGCTTGGTCTCTCCCTCGGCGGGAGGAGTTTCCAGGACCCCGACGACCTTGCGGGCCTCCTCGTCCAGATAAGGCATGTCGCCCCACTGCCAGTCCAAGTCGCCACCGTACTGCTTGGGGATGCTGGACGGGTCCATGAAGGCTGTCAGGGTGGGCTTTACTTCGGCGGCGGAGAGGATGAAGATCTTCGAAGTGGTTCCAGGGTCAAACCAGCGCTTAATCCAACCCCAGACTGTAGGGAAGAAAGAAGGAGCACCGATAATCTTCGAGGATAGCTGGTTAGCCGGGTTCATCATTGGGTGAATGGAGGTGGTGGACTCACAAAGATCCGGTCCAAGGTCTCCGGGTAGTGGGCAGTAGCCAAAACACTAGCATCCTGCATGTGCCCCTTCAGGTTCCAGAATTGCTTGAGCCCAACGCCACTCACATCCACAATGTTGGTAGAGGTGACAATGGGAGTTTCGGGGTTAGGACGAGGAAGCTTCGTGCACAGAGGCATGACGAAGTTGAGGAGGTTCTCGTAAAGAGCGAACAGACGCAGAAGACGCTGCGGGACCGTGGAGGACTGGTGCGTCTCGGACGTGGTTGAAGAGGACATGGTCTCGTTGTATGCGGCCATGTTCTTGCTGTTTAGATGCTTGATCTCAAAAACGTAGACGGGAATACCGCGGCGGTCTCGACGACCGGTCCATTGGGGATACTAGACAGGAAAATATTAGCGACCATCGCCATACACGTATAGATCAGCTCACGAACCATTCGCCGGGCAGCATCGTAGGAGTCCACATCAATGTTCTCGTAGAGCGACTCAATGGCATTATCCCGGCGCCAATCCTCGGTATCCTTGAACTGGCCCCAAGCGCCGTCAACGTCGAACTTGCGCGCGCGAAGGAAGCGCCTAAGAGTAATATTCATTAGCTCCTCTCCAATGCGTGTTCATCGAGCGTGACGAGGTCTATGTAGACGAAGCGCGAAATATACATACAACATCGTCGCATCATCATGGCTGGCCTTCTCTCCATCCCGTTCCGGCTTGTAGTAACCCTTCTCCTCACACAGTTTCTTGAATTCCTCCAGCCTCTTCTCCTGGTCGTCAGTCAGGTGGTGAAGATGGCCAGCGAGCCACGCCGTGCCAGCCGCCTGCGAGGCCGACGCAACGGGATCGTTGATAGGATCGGTCGCATCATGCGTAGATTTGGCGTCGCTCTCCGCCGCAGGTTGAGAGGATTTCGTTCCCCAGAAAGGCATTGTGCTGGATTAAGGAGATTGGGTATGCTTTGAATTGGGCGATTGCAGAGGAGGAGGTATTGAAGATGAAGCGGGTCCTTGGACGAGCTGAGCTCGGCGTCGGCGGAAGTCGGTTATAGTCTTATCTGTTTCAAGCCCGTCACGAGGCCTTGTTTCAAGTCGAGCAGGCGCCGGCTACGTCGGATTCTAATCACAAATAGTCCAACAATGAGCGAAAGTCGCAAACACGAGGGGAATGGCGGGGATATGGCATAAAGGACAAGAAAATTGGGCTGACGCTGCGAAGTCGGGAAAGGCAATTCGCCGTATCGGACAGTCGCGGAGATAGCATCCGCTTATGTCATCTATGCACGGATTTATGCAGAGCACAACAAAAAGGAAGGTTGCCAAAGATCCAACTTTTGGTATCCTTATTCAGAAAACATATTTGAGAAATCCTAGACTAATGTAGCACAGCTCTTGAAAGCTGCCAATGTAAGAATGCCCAAAGCCACTAATTCCGTCGCTCATGGGAATCGACATAAAGCGCCATGTGGATAATTGTACAGACATCTTCTTCCACCACTCCAAACACAACACTATGAGTGTAATATTTAGTCCTCGGTCAGGTCGCCATACTCCCACATACCCCGTCGTTCCTGCTTCGCCTCCTCTTCTACGCTGCGGAGGTGGGACACTGTCTCAGTAGCGGCCCGCTCCCAGGCCTTCAGCTTCCTGGGCACCATGGCCAAACCCTCACGAACAATGTCGGCATTGATACTGTGATCCAGGTTCTTGGACTCGGAAGGATCCAGCAAGGTGACGTGCAGGGTTCCGTCTGGAGACACGTAGTCGACGTTGGCAACAAGCTCACGGTTGTAAACTTGGTCTTCGAGGAAGCTGACTGCGTCTTGCAGGTAATCTTCGGCACCAGGGAACTGGACAAAGGAGAGCACTGCATCAGCCGCCTGGGCGCGAAGCTTCTGGACGGAGAACTGCGGCTGGCTCAAAGGCCGGAGACGGGACCAGGGCAGGACTTCCGAGTTACCGAAGTCAATGTAAACAACCTCAGCCTGCTGGTTTTCACGGTCATTGCGACGGACCTTAGCGCGGTACCACTCGTTGTCCTCGGTGAACTTGGCGGCAACGAAGTCGCCGGCCTTGGGAGGTCCAGGGAGCGGAGTGTCGTTGGCCTTGTTGAGGTGGAACGAACGGAAAGCACTCATCAACTCCGTTAAGGCAGAGGTGCCTGTGCCAATCTGCTGAACCTTAACGCGGCCAGTAGTAGGGTCGACATAGGTGACCATCACATCGCGGTAGTCCTTGCGACGCTGGGAAACCTCGGTGTCAGTGTTGTTGTTGCTGTTGGCAGGCTCCTCCTCATCTTCAACGATGTCCTTGCTAGGGTCCCAGTCGTGCCAGAGACCCTTGCGGGCCTCCTTGGCCCTTTGCTCCGCAGCAAAGTATTCCGTAGCGTGACCAGACTGCTCAGCGGAGTAAGCGTGAACAGTAGCAAGACCCTCCTCAAGGAGGACCTTGGTGAAGTTCTCCTTGTTCACATACAGAGTACCTATGAATCCACCGACCTTGTCAATGGTCTCCACGTCGATCTCAACATCACGCTGCATGCAGCGCTTGTTCGCAAGATCGTGAGCCTCCTGGCCGCAAGGCTCGGATGCCTCACCGGGGTTACGGGCAGACCGGGGAGCGCGGATACCCGACAAGACAAGAGTCAACTTGGCGTTCTCACGAGGAACCAGAACGGTGAACCGAGATCCCGACTTGACAAAGTCGACAATAGCCGGCACACGCTTCTGGCGCTGGAGAATGGAAACTTCCATCTTGGCCTTCTGAACGCTTTCCGAGTAATCCTGGTACTGCTTGGGCTTGGGGGGCTTAGCAGCCCACATGCCCTTGCCTTCGGCCTGGGCCTCTGCTTCAGCAAGCATGAGGTTGTCATACTCAGGAGACCGGTCCTCGTCATCCTGGCGGTGACGGATGACGGAAGCGTAACCCGCCTGGACGAGGGCCAGAGCGATGTTGGTGTTTCCTTGAACAACGGTGGCAACCTCCCTCTCCTCGTATCCCTCCGTAGCGGGCTTCTTGCCGTTAATAGTGACCTTGACGTGCTTTCCAATGATTCTCTTGCGCACAAACTCCTTAGCATCGGCGGCAAAAGGAGCCTGCTTGGGATCAGATGGCTTCGGTTGCCTGACACTGCTGAGCTGGATCTTCTTCTCCTGACCGGCCTTGTTGCGAATGAAGAGCGTGTCTGCATTCAGCACGCGGCCAACAACGTAGTCCTCGGCCCCGCCAGCAGGACCCTTGGGAGCAACTAGACCAGTGAAGATGCCCACTCTGGCGTCCTTGGCCACTTTCTCCGCACGGCGGAAAGCTGCCATCTCAGTACCAAGCAGGGCGGAGTGATGATCGTGGCAACGAGCCAGACCAGCTTCCAGCAGGAACTTGGCAACATTGCCGTTCGGGTGGAGAACACTAGCAATCAGTTGACCCTGAGGGGTGACGCCCAGAAGATTCACCTGGACCTTGCGCTGCAGAATCCTCGATTCGACGAACTGGAATGCTTCGTCTCCATACGGCTCTGCAGGCTGTTCTTTGCCCTCAGCCGTCACTCGCTTGGCTGCTGGGGCACGAACACCCGCCATGGCAGCGACAACCTGCAGGTGTTCCTCCGAAGATAGGAGCAAACGGACGATCAGGCGGTCGCCGTTCAGAACCCTCTCGACGATACCTTCCAAGTGCTTGTCCTTCCATTCGTCAACCAGCGCCTTAGGGTCAGACAGCTCATAAGTGGTCTCTGTGCGACCACTCTCTGTGCCTGCCCATGTTCCCTTGCCCTCCGTCTGGGCATGCTCCTCCAATGCACGGAGTCGTTGCAGGAACGCCACAGTCTCTTCAGACTCGTCGCTGCGCTTGCCAGCCTCTTCGCGGACGCGAGTCCATCCTTCCTGGACGCTGATGTCGGGGAGGGAGACGTCGAAGGTCGGGAGTTTGATTGTACCGTAGTCGCGCTTAGCACCGGTAGGGATGGTGTACAGGATTTGAAATTGTACGACTTTTCCGACTAGGAGCTCGCGGAGAAACTCTCGGGAATGGAAGCCGTACGGCTGCAGAAAGAAAACAGCGGCAGTTAGCAAGTTATTGATAGATCAATTAAGCGATGCTAGTTATAACGGGCCAAGGTCGATTCCAACTCAGTCAAGAATGTTAGATTTCGGATGGAATGCAGCCTTTTGTCCCCGATGTAGAGGCCACCTATCCAGGCAGAAAGAAACGGTTGCACCGCGCATTGACATTGTATCTGAAAACACAAAAAAGAACCAACTCACCTCATCTCCCTCTCTGCGTAGTCTCGGCGCGGAGACATATGCAAGACTGAGGATACGTTCCTGGCCTGGGTTGTTGATATGCGACAGCACCACCGTGTCGCCGGACAGGACAGATTTCACGCGGGCTTCCAGAGGCATGCTGGCAAGCGACAGGCGAGACCAGAAATTGACGAGACGGGGTTAAAGAGGCAGAAGCAATTAAGGAGAAAGGGATGTAAGTAATGAATTATGAGAAGGAGACAAGAAAAAAAGACCGAATGAATGATAGGGGAAAGGGAGAAGAAGACAGTCGGACTACTTCCATTGAGGCCAGGTACAGCAGTCCGAGCGGCCAATCGCGCTCGGGCGGGCACCTGACTTTTGTGGGGGAGTTCGACTCCGGCCTCGACGGAGCTTCGCTCCTGCAACTATCCGCACCGTTGTCTGCATATCATCATGAAATCAACTTGCTAAGTCCCAGTGATCAAGAAGAGTGAATCTTTCTATAAACAGTGACTCTTTCACGACCACATTTACTGAACTACAAGCTTCCCTGGAGCTCCGTCACTGCAGGAAACACCAGTTCACCAACCACTTCACCAAAGATGCTTCACCAACTGCCAGAATTGAGCTGCAGCATAAACAATTGTCTACTCAATGTTTCTGGCGACGAGCGCTGTGCTCATTGATCAAACTTGGGCATGTCTGTTGGCTCGCCTCTAGTCCATGTGTTCCGTGACACCATGTATGTAGCTGTAAGCGCTAGGATCACCCTAGGCCGCAACGAGTACAACCACAAAGGAGACGATGATGAGACTGTGCATCTTGACATGTACTACTTGGACGTCAAAGTAGAAAGCTAATACTTCCAGTAAAATGGTTACATTCTGTACTACCCACAGCGGAGTTAATCAGCGCTTCGATACAGTCTGGCAAAAATGCCGGTTATCATAACAGTTGGCATCAAGTCATTCGTGCATTCATTTTATTCCTGTTGTCGACGAGATAATGGCAGACTACTCATTCTGTTCTAGCCCTTCACATCCTAGTCGAACAGCTTTGGAGACTGATTTAGGCACTTAAGCGGCAATGCCGATGACACCTGTGACAGACGAGATCAGTAAACAATGTTGATTTCAGTGAGAAGGGGTATCTTGGTAGGGACATGCTTACCGCAGGCGGGACGAGGACCAGCGTTACCGGTCTTCTTGGACTCCTCGTTGCCACCACGGCCGAGGTCATCAGTACCAGCGTGGACGACCAGGGTCCGCTGTATGCATTGCATTAGCATCTTTCCAGAAACAGTCAGGAAGAAGGGCAGGGATGAAAACGTACGCCCAGGACGCTCTCGGCACCGATGAGCTTCACCAGCTTGTCCTGCTTGGAGCCAACGGCGTTACCCTCGGCATCGGTCTTGAAGTTGCCAAGGTCACCGACGTGACGCTCGTCGTCCTCGGGAGCACCGTGGGTCTTGCCGAAGGGGTTGAAGTGAGGGCCAGCGGAGGTGCAGCCGTTGGTGTTGTCACCGAACTGGTGGACGTGGAAGCCACGCTCAGCGTTGGCGTCGTGGCCAGTGATGTTCCAGGAGATGGTGGTGGGGGTGCTCTCGTTGGCCTGCTCGAAAGTGACAGTGCCGGAGACCTTGGAGTCTCCACGGATAACAGCGACTAAGAGATGGGTGTCAGCCCATGATTTTCATCGATGGAAACCTTCCAGAACCATGAGATCCAGCGATCACTGGCCATCAACCAGACTTTGATCGTGGTACTATTGATACGAAAGATAAAACAAAGCTCCAGCTGACGGGGACGAATGAGCTAGTAGATGTCACCGAATCCCCCTGAGCTTGCCGGGCTGGCAAACAGGGTCCCCAGATCGTGATAGGTGCAGGAGGGATCGCAAGGTGCTCAAATCTGCTCACTCAAGGTCCCCCTGCCACGGTCGATCGTGGATCCGTGGAGGGGGTTAAGGCCAATAGCAGGATAGGAAAACCAAAAGGGCTGAAGAAAAGTGCAGGTACCTACCAGCCTTGACCATTTTGACGGTTTTTGAAGATTGGATTACCTTGGATCTAGGGGTAAATTCAAGATTTTGGAGAGGATGATGGGGAGGGAAAGAGGAGAGAGAAGAAGAGAACGAGGGGTAAATAATGAGCGACCCAACAGAACAGCAGCAGCAGCAGCAGCAGCAGCAGTGGACTCCGAATCAGTCAGAGTGCCTCGCTCGCTGCTCCCCAGTGGATTCGATGGGCTTCCAATGTCGGTCTTTCCCTCCATCGGAAGCTCACCAAAAAACCCCCACCTGGCGGGGTTCTTCGGAATGACGTTTTGCTGCTGTATTCCACCTTCCCGAACCAGCTTTGGGGGGCACCACAGTAGCTTTTCCTTCCGCGATTCATAAGCAGGTCGGGTCCAGACTGCTTCTGTACATTATGATTGGTGTATCATTGGGGTTACTCGGGGGTAAAATGAGAAAGCTTTCTCCGAGGCTCAGTTGTCTCATGGACGGGGAAAGAGGGGACAGATCACCTCCAGAATGCTACTGTGTACTTTTTACGTTGTTGTCAGACCCTGGACCTTTCCCGTGGGTTGCAACGAACTGCAGCGGAAGGTGCAGTTAACTAAGGTAAGGTAAAGTAAGTATCGATCTGTATCAAGCAAACCCCACTTGCCGTGTGTATTATTTCTCGCGTTACTCGTAACTCCCTACTTCCACCACCACTATCACAAATCACCTCATCGCTCTCGTCATTCGCTTGTGCTTGTCCTTATCTTGGAAATACTTACCGGACTACGGAGTTGCTGTTGTGGAATTCTGTGTATCAATCCGTGTAGGCCATTACTAAATCGGGACGCTTGAAGCTATCCGCTTGCGGTAAGTAGTCCCACTACAGCTCTCCCCGATAGTACTGACTTCGCTTAAGAGTTCAGTATGAACCTACAAGAAGCTACAACGGTCTTTTCATAAACCTCTGCCCATGCTGACAACGTAATGGGCAATTTTCATACTGTAGATGCTCGAAGTCTGCACATTATGGGCATCTCTCATGGTGTCGCTACCTAAGCATCGCTCTTCAGCGACCTTATTAGATCACAACGAGTACCATTATGTCCGGGGCTTCATTTATAGTATTGCTCCCTCATTTCTACTTTGAAGGACGTTCCTCCCCGCTTCGATCCCATCGGTGTAAGTAATGTTCCATATGCTCTGTGATAGCCCGGAGGTCAAAGGATGCTACAAACATCGAGAATCAATGATCGTCAATGCCCCAAGGACTGTGTCCGAGTGGACTTGCCTAGACACCTGCCTTTTAGGCCATTTAGGGTGCGTGGTGAAACCTCCATGAGGCCTTGGTCCCGTTCACTTGGCGTATGTTATGGCAATAGGCCGAATTCTTTGAGTACAATAGCCGTTACGGCGGAGAATGTGAAGCTTTTTGATCACCCGCAAGATCTGTGAGTCTTTCTGTAGGATTTCTATTTGAAGAATTCGCCTGATCCTCGAACATAAGAGTAGAAATCTCATTAACGCCAAGACATAACCTAGCACAAAGCAAAGCACAATGTTCAAGGGTAATTAGCAGTCTATCCCTATGTACTTCTATCAGGCGTTCCAGGTTCACAGATAGTCACCTGGCACCGTTCAGTTATCCAAGAGCGCAACCCTAACTCGCTATGACGGTCATGATCGTGTATGACCCCCTCGTTTCCCGAAGTAGAATTCTTTGAGCCTGTTATTCTCATGCTTTGATTCTTATACGCCGTTCACTACCTCCAAAGTTAGGGCAACTGCGGTTTGATCAAGCCCAACCGTTGAATGCATCTCAGTGCACGCATCCCAGTGCACGAGAGCATCTTGATATTCAACGAGTGCCTCAAAAGGGTTTACTAACTCAAATATTTCTTACCGTTCACTCCTTTCGTTCACCCTTTACGTTGAATCTTTGGAATCTGGAGATATGAGCGTTCACTTGTTGGCTTTCTGCTGGGCTATATAAACACCGTTCTCCTTCCACCCAACTCTCTCCTTTTCTTCTTCTCTCTATCATCTAATTATCAGACGATTTTTTATAACAATCTTCTAGCATACTTATATAGTATCTTCCATTATCGACCGATTACCTGGTTTATCAAACTTATATGATGGTCACATCCACCGATTATCTGGTGCAAAGCCTTATGCTCCGAGACATCCGCTATTGAAAATCTCAAGCAGAAAGGTCGGTCAAAGGTAAAAGAAGAAACTCGGGGGACTATTTATGATGTCCTCCGAAAGCAACCAAAGATGAAGATGATAGAGAGTCTTCTGCAACAGGTCTTACTCTATCCGGACCAAACAACTCATATTCGAGGAGAGACTCGCTATATCTGCCTATAAATCTCGACGCTTTATTTCTCCGTCTGACGTACAGAGAGAGATTAACAAGGTAATATCCATGACGTTGTACGGTATGTTGAAGAGACATCCTCCAGATCTCATTCTATTTTTCATCAATCCCGCTACTGGGATTAATTTTGAGAGTCTCCTATCTACAGAGCTTTCACTAACCGGTGGTGCTCAGATTACTCAAATGGCTCCAAACAAAGTCAGCGGCCAAGGGCTGAAAATAAGAAAGGAGTTCCACAGTTCTAAGAACATCGTCCTTCTCTGGAATTAGTCGAACAAGTTTGAAAGAGACTATGCACGGCCATGGTTGCTTGTCTCTGCGCTCGCTCGACTGGCGGACAGGTTGGCTGGAATATCTCAGATGCATTACAAGATGGATATTCGCCATAAGCTAGGGGAGGCTGTATAATGTGCTTGCTGCACTCTGTGACACTCTAGGGCATATACCGATCAAGCGAATCGCCGATGCTCCAATGCCAACGAACGCTTCAATGGCACATTGGCTCGCCTTCCTAACATCCTGAGAACTAAATGGGCTCTTATCGACTCGCCTGGGCAACCAAAGTGACCCACAGCTACTACAACACTGAAACTTTATCTTTTATACCTCAGTTGTCTATCTATCGGCCTTTGTTGCTAAATTGCGTCTCTGGTGCTAGCAAACTTGTCACCGATGGACCTTACTATCAATATCTCAAAGGAAACAGACGATACTATACAAAGTGGGATAAGCTTTCTTATCGTCTCACAGAAGTATCATCGAAACCGCATCAAAGATACGCACCTGCAGGCGATGGTGAGGTAAATGCTCGGTGATACAGGCAACGGGGGTATGATGGACTGCTTTCGGTTGATCTACTAAACCCTTCCAATCCCACAACAACTTGAAATCGCCAGTTTCTCGAGTACTTTACACTGGATAGTACACAATCTCCTTCGCAGCGTGTCCTACCAGAGCAGGAGAAAGCGCTCACAGAATATCTCAACCCATCGTTTTTCTTTATCTCACTACAGCTATCCTAGTCAGTATGGCCTTCTCCTTGGACTTTGAACGAAGAACAGAACACTGGGTTAAAGAAATTACAATACTTACTCTTTTTCTTCTATCAAAGAAGAAACAACATACTCCGAAGGATCAATCGGGAGTTCCATCTATCAACTGATGTTCGGTTGCATTTAAAATCGGATTAACTGATAGAATGTCCCCGACAGTGCCTTGAATATTTACTCAAAGATAAATGATTGCTCCATCACATCGCGTTAACCTTACGAAAGACGAACACCCTCAGATCTCACAAATACAACTCACAGTACACGAAGCGACCGTGGACGCAAAGGCATAGCTCTGGGCTTATCTTCGAAACACCCATTCCCAGAAACTGAAAGGTATCCTTCAAAGAACGCTTCTCGGTATTGAAATGGCCAATCAGTCCATGAATCAATTACTCTATCGATCATGTTTGGTATGTACTTCGTACTTTTCTGGGGGATGGCACTGGATTCTAATATACTGAAGAAACTAGTAACTCTGCCACGCGTTCGCATCTCAAAACTACTGCAGATCGCTGCCAATCTTCAGGGCGGACAATACAATGAGTTAAGAGAAGCTTATGTATGTGGTAAACTGGAGGCATGGCAGTGAACTCGATGGAAGAAGGACTATACGCTTACTCTTGAACCTCAATAGCCAAGGAAGTATCGCCGATTTGTCTCGTTGCAAGGCAACCTCAGCTATATCTGTTGTCTGATTCTTCTCGACTCATGATTAGCCCTAACAAGAGTTCATGAGAACATGCTTGGAGCGAGCAATTCTGCACGTCGTCGGTTCTCGCACGGGTACCGAGTACTTCGATCGCGACCATTAGACCATCGAGGACCTACTTCAACGTATACGTCGATCGAACAAAACGCAGAGCTTCGTGAAAGACAATGCACTTCACACCTTATGGAAAGCTACACCATTCTCCACCATCCTGAATAACCTAATAATGAGATGGAATGGTCCATGCTTGCTCGCTAAACCTCACACGATGAGGAAGATCAGGTATTTAATCCTCCAAACGAACAATTGCTCCATCGTTCGAGTAGCCTGACTCTCATAAATTATCAAAGACAGTGCCGAATTTTGACCCTAGACCTTCATGGGAAGTTAATATTCTCGATAACGCTCAACAAATGATCTCAACCTGATGAGTGGGATGATCCTACGCTTACCTTTGAGACCTCAGACCTGCAGATCGGCCAGTCTCAGCTCACGTTCTTCGGTTGGCCTTGTTGATACT